TTTATTATGCTACAGCTCAAACAAGATGTTTAGACATTTCCAAACCCCTTCCTTATTTTTCATTTATAATAAAAGGTTAATATCTTGCTTTTCAGGCTAATTTGAGGTGCTGAGAAGCATTTTAACATATTATGATATTAAATACATAATATCATAATTTCTATTGGGATGAAAATCCCAGTTTTACCAGCTGCTAATGGCCTCTGGAGAGATTCAGGCTGATGAGGTTTGTGATGTCAAACAGCTGTAGATGAAAATACGAGAAACAGTTGACAATAATTAAATAATACAAACGTAAAACTACAAATTTGAGACAAGCACATAATTGTCATGGCATTATTTCATATGATTTTATGTGATATTAAATACCATTAAATTGTCATACTCTTAGCAAAGTCAAAATAGGAACATACTAATCTGCAGATTTATATTTCAGACAGTAAAAAAATAACACAATATTTAGTTAGCATGAACAAACTTCTGAAGCTTTTCTTTTTTTTAATGTGAAATTGATTAACTGAAAAGAAGGTAATTTATTGAGTTCACCCAGCTATTGAAGGTGAGTAATTCACAGAAATGACACAACTGTAACCCCTTTTTTTGTGTATGAATTTTCTCAGAGCAAGCTGTGGAATTTCAAAGTGTACCTGTAATTAAACATATTTGCTGAATAATACTAAATCTGCAGTTTATTTGCAAAAGCCTTATATACAAATTCAATATTCAAAATTCAAGCTGCTTGATTAGGTCAGTAGGCACGTAATATGTTTCTATTTCAGAAGCTTGATTTTTCCTATCAAAAATCTGATACGAATCATTCAGAATTTGCTTTTTGCAAATACTCTTCAATAAGATGCTCAAAATTCATCAAACATTATTGTTAGTACCTCTATTCAGCAGTGTCATATAATCACAGAATGGTTTGGGTTCGAAGGGACCTTAAAGATCATCTAGTTCCAACCCCACTGCCATGGGCAGGGACACCTTCCACTAGACCAGGTTGCTCAAAGCCCCATCCAACCTGGCCTTGAACACTTCCAGGTATGGGGCATCCACAGCTTCTCTGTGTAACCTGGTCCAGTGCCTCACCACCCTCATAGGGAACAATGTCTTCCTTGTATCTAATCTAAATCTACCCTCTTTCAGTTTAAAGCCATTACCCCTTGTCCTATCACTACATGCCCTTATAAAAAGTCCCTCTCCAGCTTTCCTGTAGGTGTCCTTCAGGTACTGGAAGGCTGCTATAAGGTCTCACTGGAGCCTTCTCTTCTCCAGGCTGAACAACCCCAACTCTCTCAGCCTGGCCTCGTAGGAGAGGTGCTCCAGCCCTCGGATCATCTTCATGGCCCTCCTCTGGACTTGCTCCAACAGGTCCATGTCCTTCTTACGCTGGGGGCCCCAGAGCTGGATGTAGTACTTCAGGTGGGGTCTCACAAGAATAGTTACAGAAAGCAAACAATAACCAGCTCAAATTGATAAAATGTCTATGTACCTTTCCAGTGAAAGGAAACCTGTTTGATAAATGGAATTTAACAGCATAAAAGAACAAACTATATTTACTTACTCAGCTTTTGAAGGAAGAATTATATTAACATACCTGCAATACATGTAAAACCCTTAAATATATATGAGTAACTTATATTGCTACTCTTACATATTTTTTTCTAACAAAACTCAATGTTTATCTAAATTTTAAATATAAAATGAAAGTATATTTACTTGTGGAGGCTGGGTGTATTAGATTTATCTGAATTATTTTGATCCCTAATTTGGAAGATATATTTTTCAGCTGCTAAGCTATGCACTAATATGGGAAGCTGCTTACCTAAGCTTTTTTTTCAGTGCTACAGAAAATACTAACAGAACTATTAAACCATTGCTTCAATGAGAGTTGCAGTACATACAGGTAATAAATATATGGAACTTTTTCTCTTATATCTTCATTGTCTGAGTTCCTTTCCTTTTACTGGCAGGCTTATAGAACTACAAATCCATGAAAACTCAGTACTATCTTAAAAGTGCAACCTCTGTTATTTTAATATTTTTGTACTGTGTATCAAGGCATTGTTTACATTAGATAATGAAATGGAGATGGGGCAGAAAACACACCTCTGAAAGACTTTCTACACAAAAGGATGAACACGTAGTTCTTTGCACAAAGCATTAGAAAATACTGTGATATTTTATTATTAAAAATGCTGCTGAAAAGTTTATACATATGTGTCCAGCCATATATATCTTCTATCATTACTTAAGGCAAAAAACCAAAAATTGCAAAACAATAACAGAAGAAACCATTAAACCCTGCGTGCCTCTTAAGGTCAAGAATATAAGCCTGGGAAAGTACTTTTGTTTTTCTTTTACAGTTTGCAAAGTATATTTTGATATCATTATTATAGAATTCTATGAAGACTCTATAAATCTGTTCCCTCTATAAATCATACATCAGTCCAGATGTATCAAATTATTAAATCAACTTGATTGTAATTACTTTTAAAAGCTAAAATCATTCACTTACAGGAACTTTTTTTTTACCCAAATGTCACAAGCCTGACACAGTACTGTACATATTGCTAGCAGAAGACAATTGGAAGTACTAAACAAATACTGTAATTCACGTTACAAACATACCCAACTGATTATGATGCCAAGCATCATTACCTTTTTTTACTTTTTTCTTTTTTTTTCTTTTTTTTTACTTTTTTTTTTAACCTTTTTTTAAGAGCTATGAACTGCTGCATCTCAGCTGAGGCATTACATAGGTGGTGGAAATGGCCTGGTATAGAGTCAGCATTAATCAACATTATGTGATGGATCAGTGAAGAAAAAACAGTTTTCCATTTGCTACTAGTTATACTTTGGGGTTGTTGCTTCTTCACTTTCCAACCTGAGCATCCTGGTCAGGTTTATAGCACATTTCTTACAGATAAAGGATTATATCAGCCACATGTTGCATTTTTATCATGTCATTAACTTTCTTTTTATTTCTTTCCTTCAGAATCTGTTTTACTGCCTGCTGCAACAAGGAGTTGTGCAGATGAATAGACCTCAGTGAATCACCTTGTTTGTGATTTTATTTGTAGGGGTGACTATTCCAAGACATTTTATTATAAAACAAAAAGCATAGGAAACAGAAAGAGGTACAAGGCATCTTATGTTAGATACTTATGGGACGTATGATATTGATGCAGCTTAGCTGTGAATTAATAATAGAAAATACATCTGGGATAATCATATTCAAGTGCAGACCAATTTGTTCAAATATCTTTGGTTACTATCTCTCGATGATGGAGTAACTTTCAAAGACAAAATATAAAGCAATCTTCATCTGCGAGAACTTATTTCTAGCTTCTCGCATTCAAATCAGTTGTTTGAATTGAACTGCTAAGTTCCTTTGTTTGATAGCTCTGCTTGGCCCCGAGTTGCCTAGCGAAGGAAGGGCAGAAGGGAACAACCAGCTAAGAATTTTGCCCTTCCTGAGAGTGACGTTCTCTGGGATTTTGGGTTTTATTCAGATGCAGAACTGCTGATGACATCTCTGCTTCTCTTCCCATAATGTTCACTGACTATGGGACTGCTGTGTAATAAATCAGCAAAAAAAGTATTTTCTGACAGGTATGCTCTCAAGCACAAAACAGGATACTGGACAGAGAAGTTCTTTACACACTGATCATTTCTGAACACTTTAAAAAACAGCCAGCCAACCAACCCACCATTTCCCCACTTTCAAATTACGGTTTTATTTCTTTTAGCAAAGCTAGGAAGGTGCTTTCTCAGCTGAGATTCCATTGCAACTGCTGGTGAATATAGAGCTAGTTTTCCTCAGAAAAGGCTGACCAAAACACAGGCTTTCTTTGCTTTTGTCAGGGCACAAAACTCTTCCTAACGTATCACAATAACCAAGAACTACAAACTGGACTCTGAATATATATTACTGGATGTTTCTTGGTTCATTTTAACAAGCTTATAATAGTAATTATGTTCTTTTGTGGTTTTTTTTTTCCATTTTCCAATTCATTGTTGTGTTGCAATTTAATAAAGGCTAACACGAAATTAAATTATATTAAAGAAAGTTTCAGAAAAGAACAATCTCCTATGAATACTTTAACATGCACTAGTGTAACCTGTAAGAGAAAATATGCAGGTCACACAGACAACTGTATCCTCTGCATGACATCATGGCCTCATATAAATGAAACATGTTAGAAAAAACTCATGTTTTTTTGTTTACCACTAGTAATTAAGAAGAAATTCCTCCTTTGGGCTTGGAGGAAACAGAGGTGACATGACTAATGTATATACACATAGGTCACAACTGAATGCACAATCTTTCTAAAAGCTCTTTTCAAACTGAAAACATCAATAAAAGCTTTTTTTTTCTTGTTTTTAAACTCACAGCTATGTACATTTTTACAAAGTTTCTTTAAATATAGTTCAGGCTGGCAAGTCATCTCTTTGCACAGAACTATACGTATTTTACTGCATAGTCAGTCCTCCTCTTTTTTTTTTCATTTTTGTTTTTAATAATAAAATTCTATTTCCCCCATCTGGATTACAGCTTCATATGCTGGGTAAAAGCCCATGGTGATGTCTTTGTTTTAACAAGGGCCATTCATGGTATGGCACATAAAGAATTTTTTTTATTATTTTATTTATTAAAAAAAAAAAACCAACCAAAACAACAAACCAACACCTGTACAGTCACTGGCTCTGTGTTCCAGAAGACTCTGCTTTGCTTGTTACACTCAAAACACCATTTTAAGTGACTTCTTCTATCCTCAACTTTCAAAGTGGCTGAGATCTTAAAGCAGTATCGTAACAGCACTGTACACTTTTCACATTTCACAGGGTTTGTAGTTGATCTGTAACATCAGAGAGTTTCTGTGGGAAGGATCAGTAAGAAAATAATGACTGTCCTTCTCTTGTTTTTACTTTAGATTTTGACAAGGTGTTCAATGAATGGTATTATAACTTTTTCCTCTTTTTTTTTTTGTTTTTTGTTTTTTCTTTCTTCCAAGTGGCTTTTGAGGGTAGAGGGGGAAGGGCTGAGCTATACCCTAGTGGTCGAATGTCCATGGGGCAAATTTGTACTGTTTTGTCCTCCACTGAAGGTGTTGAAAGTATGCAAAGGCTGCATTCCTGTTAATGTATTTGGAATCATGGTTATGGTGTTGGGTGTCATTAGCGGGATGTCGTCTGGGGACCTTCTCAAAGTAAGCGTGTAGTCAGGCGGACAGGTTAGTCTCAGTGTGTCATGGGCCTGCAGCGATTCACACTCGTGGTCATGTTCTAGCTGTTTCATCTGCAATGACATAATCTCTTCATTTTGTATGTGTGCAATATCGTTGGTTGTGTTCCTCTGGGGGCTAGGGCGCCTGTGAGTCTCATGACGCCGCTTGTCCTTCTTGTAATATAACGCAGCAAAAGCTAAAATATTGAGGAACAGCAAGGATGCCCCCACAGCAATGGTGACGCTCAGCTCCGTGGAGTAATCTCGCTTGTTTTCTATCAGAACTGTTGTATCCTCTGGAGCTGTTTTATGGGTGTCTTTTGAATGTTTGGGATTGTTGGCAGGTGTCATTGCTGGGCGTTTGGTGGCTGGCCACAATTTACCAGGAGATCGTCGTGTCACATAAGGAAATGATGTCATGTCAGGAGGGGGGACTTTAGTTGTTGTGGAAACATACTGAAATATTTCATTCAGGTTGTGAAGATGCGGTACAAGCTCCAACCAGAAAGCAACTTTTGTTGCTCGGTAGTGATCACGAACTCGGGGTTTCAGGCCAATATGCAGATAAAGCTGGTCTTTAGGATTATATTTTGACCAGGCTACTTCTTCAAAGCGGTTGGGTTTTGTGTGGATGAACTTTGTGTCCTGTGGAACAGGCTGGTTTGGATCTCTACAAAAATAAAAACAGGCAATATTATAGTCATTAAAAAACCCAAAAACAAAACCAAAAGCAAAACCCAAAAAGCCCTCCATCCTTTAGTTAATGGTTTATCCGATAATTAACATAACCTAAAACCAGCAGCTAAAAAAACCTCCCAAACTTAACAACAGATGTTAATAAATAAAAGAAAAATTACTTACTGTACAGTACACCTCAGACACTATAATACTTTTTTACATGAAAATGGAGAAAGGGTTATATTTCAGCTCCCAAAAGCTCATCTGAAGTTCTGTGATTCAGTATCATACTCCAGAGCTGTCTTAGAGAAGTACTAACTGCCTTTCCTCATAGTAAAGGTGTAGGTTAAGCTCTTCTCAAGGTTTGACATTAACTTTCTCATTTAAGGTACCACTACTTCCATTGCTGTAAGTAGTAAATATGGGCATCTAATCCCTATGGCAATGTTGGAAGTCCATGTGACCGTAAGAATTTATACTAGCTGCATATATGACATAAAAAACTTCAAAACATGAAGTAGCAGGGCTAATACATGTAACTGGGAACTATTTCTCTTTGTGTGCCTTTACTGAGCTATTAGTCTCCCTTCGTTCAAACATCTACTTTAGGGAAAAGCCTTTGAAGTATTCGTTATGTCGCAAATCTTTCCACAATTTGCATTAGGAGATTACTATTTAAAAGTTCCATATGCTCATTGCTACTAAATAACTAAGTTTAATGGCCATAGGACAGTGAGCTTTAATTCTGTCCCAGTTTGTAGGGATGAGAAATATAGTAGCTGAGATCAACAAGTTTTATAGTAGTTAAGTAGTAGTAGAGATAAGAGTAGTACACTACTCAGAGACAATTTCAAAATTGGTAACCCATACATTTAGTTGAAATTATGCTGTTCTCATCTTTTCTTCTTATAGATTCAGAATAAAGACAAATCAATGGCACAAAAAGCATTTAAATGTGGTAAATATCTATGTATCCTTATACATAGTATACATTGGTAAACCTTATGTAAAGGTAAAACCATATGTAAACCTATGCAAATATGACTTCCTCTTGGCATGAAAAAATACGGAAATTTAAAATTACTAATACCAAGTTTAATATCCTGTCGTGCATAAGTTTGAATCTTCTTTTGCAGCAAAGCATATTTTCTGGGACTTTGTGATATATTATACTGGGAGTATATGATTCATCTTCTGTGCATTACTCTGAGAACTTTCCATTCTCCTTTCCATTCCCATATGCATTAGTTTATTTCCTGTGAAAATGATTCTAATATTTTCCTTTTCTTCCAGTATACTATTATATAACGTTACGGGAATACCAAGACCCACTGCTGCAGATTTTAAAGCATCTTAGTTTTTTCTTTTTCCATTTTCAAAAGCTCATGAACTTGATTGCCTAGTTTAGCATTCCTTTGCTGTTCATAAAGAGCTATTCCTTAGTTCTTAAACCAGACTAGTAATTTGACTTTCATAATCTCATGATTCCTGTATTCAGCTGTTTACCTGAAAGAATTTTTCCTGCCTTTTTTGAGTGAAAGGAAGAATTCTTCTTCTATATAATTTTAGTACTTTGGTTTAGTTATGCTTGTGGGTTTAGGTGTTTGGGGCGTTTTGGTTTGGGTTTGTTTTTTTTTTTTTCTTTAATATTATACTGTATCAAATCTTTCCCATCTCAATAAGATATAAACTAGCGGTTCCAGAACTGGTTATTTCATTTGTCTACCTATCTATCTATCTGTCTATTTATTTTTTTATTTATTTATAATTTTCTGTAGTAATAGTCAGTCAAATTGTGTTACTTCTGAACAAAAAGATAATTGCTTAGTAATTGTTCATCTTGGTTGAAGCTAGAGGAGTCATATCGACTTCCAAGCAGTACAGCAGCAGATGTATGCTGCTACTTTGAGGGATCCTAACATGCATTCAAGAAGGAAACAAAAGTATTTCTTTTGTTCTTAAAGAACAGACTGAAAGATTTGGCAAATCCAAAGGAGAAGATACTGACCCATTTCAATATATCTACTACTACAGTACTTTGGGGTTCAACACAGATTCTAAAGCAAATTAAAAATCAGCAAGATTATCAAAATGCAAAGCATTTTTCTTGTCAGAAACTCAAAATCCTGCAAGAGTTACAGCACAAAATCCATCTTGTGTTCTCCCCACTTGCTGCTCTGATTCACAGCACAAAAGACTCTGGGAAGGGTCCCAGAAGACATATAAATTAACCTAGCTCATATAAATGAGTTGCACTTCATACACAGTACAGGAGATGAAGTAGCTGAGGACTCAAGGACTTTCAAGGAGCCAAGCTGGCCATGCACATTTTTTTTATTCTTTTTTTTTTTTTTAAAGCCCTATATAAATGATTGTAGACGATGATTTTAGCAACTAAACATTTTTTAAATAAGCATTCTGTTCTCCTACAAACAGCCTACAAAACAAGTAAATATCAACTTCCCTTTCCTTCTCTTCCATCCTCTACCTCCATCTCTCCTTTTTGACTATATCTATTAGGAATAGTCAGTTATGCTGCCTTCTCCGCCAAACACAAGAGAGAAAATTATATTACATGAGGCTAGTCTTGTATTTCAGGATTTGTTTACAGGGCTCTGTGTGGGCATGAAGCTGTCCATTGAAACAAGGAACAGAAAAAAAAATCAACCAGCCCTACACACAAGTAATTTTTTTGCTGAGGGTATAAGAACTCTACAATTGGTATCAACTCCAGCGTTGATCACTTAATAACTGAATAAATGGTCTGAATATTCTCTCTGAATTTGGAGGATAGGTATCTAAATGTTTTTTTTTCACAAGAGAAAGAATAACTAAGTCTAGTCCTAAATAGAGAATCTAATAATGCATGCATCTTGGTTTTACAGACTGATGATAATTTACTAAAAATATTCAGTGGATATAAATAAGAGGATTTGTACTTTCCCTGGCCCTCTCTCCTATGTACACTGGAGACAATTCATAAAATTATAAGGTTACAACTTATGACATATTGTCTTTTTCTTGGGAAGTTGGGCAGTTTATCCTATTACGAACACTTTTCCAGTATTATAAATAGGCATAAAATACAGATGTACATAAAATCCTTTCTCCTATCAAATCAGCTGTTTGACAAAACTTTTGATTTGTTACTTTAACTCCAAATTTCCTTTTACCTTTTTTAACTTCTTACATCATCTTTGTGTTTCTGGACATTCTTGCGGCTCAAGTGTGTAATTACATAGCAAAAGGCTGCTAGGAAACCTTCCTTTAAAATCCCACTGCAGTCATGGTGATAAAAACACAATCTGAATAATATATTTTCAGTTCTGTGCCAGTAATGGTTCTCATAGGGACTAGATAACTTGTTTCCCAGTCCTACTAGTTGGCAGGAAGGCTTTTTTTTTTCCTTCATCCTATTGCTAGAACAAAATTGATTATTATTTTTCTTCATTTTGGTCTCTAATTATTTATTTTCACCACCTTTAGAATTCAATTTAAACAGCTTCTCCATCAAAAAATGCCCCCATCACGAAATGCCTGAACTTGTCTTCCATGTGATAGAAGAACATATGATGGTCTGTCTTGCCTTATTTAAGGTATTTTTTTACTAATGTGCAGAATCATCTGATTTCACCTATCACTTTTTTTCCCCACTTTCAGTCTGCAGTGATTCTGCTCAATTTAACATGTTGCTGTTTATTGATTTTTTTTGCGGGTGATATAAATAAATGTGTCTGCTGAAGAACACCACACATTCCTG